GGATTGGCGACCCACTCACAGTAATCTACCCTTCTGATAAAGCCGGCTTGTAGGAGTTTCTCGACTTCTTCTTTAATAACTTTTAACCTCTCCCCCCCGAAGAGGCGTCTCTTCTGGGCTACGGGTTTCTTGAGGGGATTGGTGCTGAGTTTATGTTGAAAAACTGAAGTGGGAATTCCCGACATGTCTGCTGAAGTCCATGCAAAAACATCTTTATTGGCCCGAAGAAAAGCTATTAGCTCTGCTCTTTCCTTCGAGTTCAGTTTAGTCCCAATTTGCGTTTTCCGACTCGGATCTCTGTCATCAATCTGGACCTCCTCCACATCTTCTACTGGAGCAGCTCTGGTTTCATCTTCTGGTCGGTTATCTACTATCTCAACACCCATAACTTGCCGATCATCAGGAATCCGTTTGGGATTAATCTCGGGTGTCTGAGCCTTGCCCTTCTGAGGTTGTGTTACCGAGGTGATATAACAATGTCGGGCCACCTCCTGGTTGCCTCGTAGCGTTGCTATTCCCGTAGGAGTTGGGAATTTCATGCATAGGTGAGACTGGGAGACCACAGCTCGGATTTCAGTCAGTGTGGGTCGGCCGATGACGATGTTGAATGAGGACGCCATCTTGACTACCAGAAACCTAACTGAAGGGGTCACATAACTCCAGCCATTTCCAAATGCAACATTCATGGTGAGGACTCCTTCAACTGGAACTGGCTGGTTGTTGAATCCGTAGATAGGACCATCATACCGCTGCAACAAAGCCGGATCCAACCCCAAACTTTTAAAACAATGGAAGTACATGATGTCTGGTGCAGTCCCTGTGTCAACAAGGACACGCTGCACCTCACAATTGTTGATCGTGACAGAAGTGACTAGGGGATCATTGTGAGGTGTGACGACTGTTTCGAGATCAGCAGATGTGAAAGTGATGGGTTGATTCTTCCACTCAACATCGTCAAATTTTCGCTTCTGAGCTCGGTTTTGGTGCTTGATCTCTCTAACATACAATTTTCGCTGCTTAGAGCTCAGCCCACCTGCTTCCAAACCTCTCGTAATCATGTGTATGACTCTAGCTGGTGGTGGGAGTGGTGGTGGGAGTGGTGGTGGGGCTTGCTGATATCCCACACCTTGTCTGTTTGGGGGATTGTGGACTCCTTGATGCTGCAGCCTTTGTTCCCTGACAAACCTTGGCTGTTCCACTCTCTGGATGTACTCATTCAACATCCATTTCTACGCCAGACTTTCCAGCTCGGACCTCAGACTATTGCATTGCTCTGTCGTATAACCGTGATCTTGATGAAAATCACAATACCTTGTATGGTCTCTGGTAGCAGCAGCAATTCTCATTGGACCCGGACGTCTCAAGTCCATCTTATTCTTAATCTGCATAAAGATTTGTGACCTCGGTAAATTAAAAGGAGTCTAATTAAGTGGAGGTTTACCTGCAGGTTGTGTGGAAGTCGACATCGGACCTCGGTTCTGTGTTGTCTTCATCCGTTTCCTGTTCGGATTCTCATCTCTCCAGTCCGGGTGCTGGTTCTTAATAAGAGTGATGTTCTACGACAGGGCATATTCCTCAGCGGTTATGAATTTCAACGATCTATCATTTACCTCGCTGAAGGTGTTGGCAGGATGTTTGAGCAGACTATCTCGGAACCTCTCATGGCTAAGACCCGAGATCACAGTTGTAATTCCCACAGCTTGGTCAAAAGAATTAACCTCCAGCACTGCATCATTGAATCTGCTCATAAAATTCTTCAAAGACTCTCCGTCCCTCTACTTAACTCGCATCAGCTTAGAAGTGGTTTTCCTGATCAACCTTCAACTGGAAAACTTTGTGGCAAAAGCAGATGCCAGTTCTGTGTAAGAGTTGATTGACCTTGGAGGCAGACTATAGTACCAGGTTCGAGCATTACCTCGGAGGGTAGAGGGAAAGATTTTGCACATCAACGCATCAGAGGCGTTCTGGGCCTGCATGCAAGAGTAGAAAGCATGTAGATGATCATCGGGGTCCTTCGTCCCATCATAAGTTTCAAGCTGTGGTATTCTGAAGCCAGTGGGATAGGGTTCCCGTATAATATTGTTGTTGAAAGGGTGGGGTACAGAATCAGCAGCAGGGTGTGGAGGTGGGGGCACCTCGCTGTTCAACCACTAACTTTTCTAAGCTATCTAGACGTCGAGTGACATCATCATGAAGGGGTTGCTGAGCTGGTGCGATGTGAGATTGGCCCTGAGATTCACTAACAGCGGGAGCATGTTGAACTGGTTCAGGATTTTGTGGTGGGGTTTGGGGCTATGGAGCAGGATTGAGTAGGTTGATGAGTGGATCGCCAGGATTGTTCTGGGCTAATAACTGAGCCAGCACTAGTTGAAAAACACCAAACTGCTGCTGCATGGCAGCGAGCTGAGTTGCAACTACGTCTTGGTTAGCAGTAGAGGCGGAGTTGCGAGCCAAATTGTGTGGCTGATTTTCATCCCCTCCTTCTGTATGGTCAACATGAGGGAATGCATTCAGGATTGGGGGTGGGGGGTGAGGTGGAAGGTTGCTAGGGATCTGACCTCGTCCAAGAGGCTGAGACGAGTTTCCCCCTCGGGCTGACCTAGTTTTAACCATGATAAGAGCAACAAGGGAGCCTTTAGTTCAAGTTCCCACAGACGGCACCAAAATGTAACTGCACCAAACCAGAAGTCCTTCTTCAGTTCGTATTTGCACTTTGGATCAACCTGTAAGGCCCCGAGGTGGATCCTCGTGGTAGACACTCCGATGCTTAAGTCAGCAGTAATCGAGGCTACCTTTAAAGCAGAGAAACGAGGAGCTTAGGGTTGGTTTCAATTACCTTTTGGTGTGGCCTTTAAAGGGTATTTATATGTTCTGATGGAGAATCCACGCGGCATGCCAAACAAGACGCCAAGCAAAATATCCGGGATCCAATGTGTATCTCCAAGCAGTTATTTCAGGACCGGGAGATTGAGCCAAGCAAGATATTCAGGATTTGATGTGTATCTCCAAGCAGTTATTTCGGGACCGGGAGATTGAGATATATTTAGATGCAAGGATGTCCATCGTAATAGCTGTGTAGCTGTTCAAGCGGGAAGCTCTGGATTTACCCTTTACTCTGGTTGTAAAGGAATTACTGTCGTCTGTCCAAGGTTGGGCACCTTGGACCTGCTCTTACAATTACTCTATTTCGCTTGAGATTGATGTATTTGCAATATGTCGTAGATTTCCATTATGGGGATGGAAAGGAGAAGCAGTCACAATGGGGGTAGCATCTTGCAGTTTTTCAGGGACAAGGGTTTTGATGATAAAATCATTAACAAAATATTCAACAAGTCCAAGCGTCTTTAGGGTATCCAGAGGGAGCGGGCCTTAAGAGAATAGGCCATACTTGCGAAGCATAGGCATTCAGAAAGAGGAAGCAACCCTCTGTTGTTTCCAAGTGCCCCAAAATGTTCACTCTTGGTCTCAATGAGAGTCTTGTTCCCACGGTTGAGTGTTTTGCTATCCTTGGGACAAAATGGAGTGAAGTTACTTCGCCATTACCAGATTCCCTCACACTCTCCCATAGGGTGGAGGAGAAACTCTGCCTATTGTTGGCTGTCTTTCAAAAATTAGGGGTGTTCGAAAAGCAATTGGGGAAGATGATAGTACTAAATCCAAGCTTATTAGCTACAACATTGTATTAAAACTCATTAAGATTATGGAGGTCCTTACTGCTCTTGGACTTAGAGGAGAAGGGATGATTGGGAGTCCTGGTGGTGAAACAGCCATTTATAATGGGGTGTAGTGTTGACAAAAGGCTGTGGCCAACTCAGAGTTTTTAAAATCAATAGGTTTATTTGAGACAGATCTTCAAACATTAGCTATGATTTTGCTTGAAGTCTTGTGTAGAGACGAGGAAAGGATTTTGTTATCTGAAAAATTAAGGATTTGGATATAGACAAATAACAGCTACAGCTTTGGTAACGGGTAGAACGTAAAATGCGAAGGACTTTGAAATAGATTTTGTGGAAACACTATGTTAGCTATTAGATCAACATTTAAATAAAATTAAAAGAAAATGAATACATATAATTAATTTTTAATATTTTTATTTTATTTTCATGAAATTTTTTTTTATGTTTAAATTTTAGTACTCTACCTATATATTTTTTAAATATAGGGTGTTAATTCAAATTTTTTTAAATGATTCAATAGATTATGAACTCATAATCTTAATTTTATCATTCTTTAAAATTTTAAAAATCTTAACATTTTATATTTTAATAAATAATATATTTAATGAAGATTTCTTTATGATCTTGTAATAAAAATAATAAATCCTGAACACGAATAATAGAGATGCTGGTATGGACAAGGAGAAGGAAGGCTGGGCTCTCGTTTTGTAACCTAATTATTTTATTTTTTTTAAGAAAAAAGAAGAAGAAGTGGATTTAGAGCCTGTTTGGTGTGGTTAGAGCTTTTAATAGAAGTTTTGTTAGGTGGAATCTGTTGTGAAAGGGCTTTTTTTGAGAAGTTAGAAGTGTTTGGTAAAATTTTTTATTAAAGTACTTGCAGAGTAAAAAATTGTTTGGTAAATTTTTTTATAAAGATCTTTTAATGTTAAAATGACTGAAATAGACATTGTTTATTTTTTCATCACTCTAATTTCTTTTTTTTATATATTTTTATATAATTTTAAATTTATAGTTAATTTAAAATTGATGATTAAAAATTAATTATTCAAATTTTAAAACATAAATGTTAGATGAATATTTATATTTTAATATTAAAAAATAAAATATTATTACATTTAAATACCATAAATAAAACAATTAAAATTAAAATTTAAGTTAAATATTTTTTTGGTCTTTTACTATTTAAAACAAATCTTTTTTAATTTTTATACTTAAAAAAATTTATTTTTAAT